CCTGGAAAAGCGGCTGCTACCATTCCTAAAGCAACATAATAGACCTGTGCTGTTCTGGCTGGACTTGGCGAGCTGCCACTATGGGAAAAAGGCAATCAAGTGGTACGATGCGAACAACGTGGTTGTGGTACCCAAAGACCACAACCCTCCCAACAGCCCAGAAATCCGCCCTATCGAACGGTATTGGGCCTTGGTTAAATGGAATCACAAAAAAAAAACTAATAAATCCATCTAACTGGCGTTCTGTGGCGAATAAGGTGGATGAGACCACTGTGCAAAATTTAATGGAAGGCGTTAATCGTAAGGCACGGCAGTTTGGATTTGGCAAACCAAAAGAATAAACGAACATTTTTTCCTTTAAATATATGAATTGAACTACCAAAAGAAAAATATGAAGATTTTTGTGATGTCATTTTTCACTGAACGAAACGATTTTTCGTCGACCAATTTTTGCGCGTTCCAGTCTTTAGTCGAAAGCGGGGGGAGAGGTAGCTCATCGATTCTTCCGGTTCGCCTCCTAGCATCGTACTATAAGGTACCAGGCGATAACCAGGGTAGTTGATCGATAGCTCGATGACGTCATTTCGTTGGCGTCTGCAATGGGAAATTCTCATAGCAGGCGTTGACGATGGGACGTTGTCGAGTTGTTGAATAGCAACTTTCGTGGTAACTCACCGATTACCTGTCGATCTGCCAAATTTGGAAAGACGTCTGCATTGAATTGTCTCATATAATAATATTCCGCCCACTATATCACAAGAAATTGCGAGTAGCTGAATGGAGATAAGTTAAGCATTGGGTACAGGACCAAGTCTCCCCTGGGTGGTGCCAAAAGATGAGCGCAATAGAATCATCAAGTTGCCATAAGGCACGGAATGAGACTATTGCATGGCTGGGTAGTCAAAGTCTTCCATTCGTTAGTCATTTCAGGTGGATTAGAACAGGTTTAGGTTTAGGGTGGGCGTTGGCCAGATTTGGATCTTTCAGATGTAATCCTGGATAGGACCCTGTCATTGAACGTCGCGTGAAAGTGGAACTTAATGAAGGCCTAAGTACTTTTTCGTAGTTTTTAGTTTCCGGATTTGAAAGATCGTCGGTTACAGTGGCCTGCTTACTGAGCAGAAAAACGCGGTCCCAGGTCCTACATATCAAAGAGATTTATGGTAAAATCGCTTGTGTATCGTGTATTTTGCGAAACTCGTTGTTGTCGTTGGTTCCGGGTTTGAATGGATACACAAATTTGAGCAACGGTATTATGTGATATGAGGGACTCGGTGGCCTTAGAGCAACGGTTTTTGCTTACTGAGCAGAACATCATGAGTCTAATCTCAGGCCCATCCACATTCAAGATTCGTCAATCGTTTTATTTGTTAATATGACTACATGGTAATAACAGCAACTTGGTGATTAAAAAGGTGCTCGTCTGCCTAGTGGCAAACGGTTTTGCTTACTGAGCAGAAGACCGTGGGTTTAGTCCCAAGCTCCTTCGCGTTATATGATCGTTAGGACATCAATTCACCTTATCGTTTACCAAAACGAACCCTGCTGCAAACCCAACCCTCTTATCCAACATCCCAGTGATTCCTCGTGGAAGTGCAGAGGTGTTCTCGGCTTCCATCAAAGCGAGTGTCATGTCAACACAATCCTTCCCATTCCTTTCTTGACCTGTGTTCGGGCGCGGCTGGCGCTGGTATTGCCTAATTTAAGATCACCAGTTTTTACAGATTGAGGATGATTGCTAGTCCCAAGCATCGTCTATTGGTTCTCTGTGTAATTACAGCTGATCTGGCAGTAACAGAGTAGCAACCGTGGGCGGTCAATCAAGCTCAAGCTCAAGCTCAAGCTCAAGCTCAAGCTCCAGTCTTTAGTCGAAAGCGTTGACAGAACACGATATAAAAAAATATAAAAAATCATTGCATCATCTGCAAGGTCAACTTATATCATTCGCGGTAGTATTCGCTGAGGAGGATGATAGTAAATGAAACTAACATTCAGTGTAATACATTTTTGGATTGCAGGCAGGAAATTATCCGCCATAAAATGTTTTTCAAAATTCCCATGAAACTCTGTTAATAATGCTCTAAAAATCATCACCGGAACATACTGTGCTTGTTTGTAAGATATAATCATAATTTTCTTCTATGTTAGTTTTCTATGTATTATTATATTGCTTTCCCTCTTTGTAAAATTCGACCTTTTGTCCACCTTTGAACCATTTGACCTTTTGTCTCCATTGTAATTATTCGACCTTTTGTCCATTCGAAGTTTTGTTCATTCGATCTTTTGTCCATTCGAATTTTCGTCCCTTTTTGAACCATTCGACCAAACCTTTAAATCGATTTATCTCCGTTAATATGGCTCTAATCGCGATTTGGGGGGTGTCCAGATGGTCGAAATTTTTAAACCCGGATTTCCCAGAATAAAATATTTCATAATCTTTCATTTGTGGGCTGGTGAGTTTCCCAAACCTTTAAATCGATTTATCTCCGTTAATATGGCTTTAATCGCGATTTTGGGGGTGTCCAGATGGTCGAAATTTTTATTCCCGGATTTCCCAGAATAAAATATTTCGTAATCTTTCATTTGTGGGCTGGTGAGTTTCCCAAACCTTTAAATCGATTTATCTCCGTTAATAAGGCTCTAATCGCGATTTGGGGGGTGTCCAGATGGTCGAAATTTTTATTTTAGGATTTCTCAGGATAAAATATTTTGTAATCTTTCATTTGTGGGCAGGTGAGTTTCCCAAACCTTTAAATCGATTTATCTCCGTTAATATGGCTCTAATCACGATTTGGGGGGTGTCCAGATGGTCGAAATTTTTATTCCCAGATTTCCCAGAATAAAATATTTCGTAATCTTTCATTTGTCGGCTGGTGAGTTTCCCAAACCTTTAAATTGATTTATCTCCGTTAATATGGCTCTAATCGCGATTTTGGGGGTGTCCAGATGGTCGAAATTTTTAAACCTGGATTTCCCAGAATAAAATATTTCGTAATCTTTCATTTGTGGGCTGTTGAGTTTCCCAAACCCTTAAATCGATTTATCTCCATTAATAAGGCTCTAATCGCGATTTAGGGGGCGTCCAGATGGTCAAAATTTTTAAACCCGGATTTCCCAGAATAATACATTTCCCTTCTTATCATTTGACCAAGGGGTAAAACAGCTTTACTCTGAGTTGCATTTTTGCAGCGAGTGACTCGTGAGTAGCTCAATTTACCTCAAAATCAAATCGACGTGCATCGATTTTTTGCCTCTTTACCTACCGTTCACATAATAGGCGTCAGTCTTGCTTGTAAACAAAATAGAATTGTTCAGACCGGCTATTGAAACGATGTGAATTCCGGATTTTGTTTAGAAAACGGCTCCACCGAGGAGAACGAGAAATCCTTGCGGGCAATCACCGGCATACAACTGAAGAACGGAACATGCTCCGAATATAATAAATAATAGTTAAAAGAATAACAAATAAACAACAAAACAATTTTTATCCTTCTCGATGAAATACCTTATTTAAAGTAGTTATGTTAATCTTCAACAAACACTTCCGTCGACGGCTGCAGAAGAATCCAGGTGGTGTATCGCAGAAAGCGGACCACGTCACAATCATTCAGAAAGCACAGCAGTAGTACCAGAAGTGTGAGGATGTCCGCTCGCAGCAGAACGGCGCCATGGGAATTCAGTGGTTGGTTCGTAGTTTCATCTAGCGGCAGATTGTTGAGCAATGGAAATGGGATCGCTTCGACGAGTATCAGAGGACGTGCAGGGTACGTATAATTTGCCGGATCTGGAGTATTTGGTCAACGAGTTATTCTACCAAATCGAGCCGGATGTTTCCTTTTTGTTTTTGTTTTGCTTGACAGCAGCATTTCAGCTTCGTACCTCCACATGTTGCTGTGATGCGAAAAGTGAGAAAGCAAATGGCAGTGATCTTGCTCACTGAGCAACGTGAATTCCTCGAGGTGCCTCAAAAGCAATTCTGAAATTGCTCATGATTAGGAGCTGTCTTACCCCTTGCATTTGACCTTTTGTCCTCCTTCGCACCATTCTGCCTTTTGACCCCGTTCTTATAATTCGACCTTTTGTCCATTCGACGTTTTATCCCTCTTTTGATCTTTCAACCTTTTATCCATTCGACCTTTTGTCCATTCGACCTTTTGTCCATTCGATCTTTTGTCCATTCGATCTTTTGTCCATTCGACCTTTTGTCCCTTTTTGAGCCATGCGACCATTTGTCCTCTTTCTCATCATTCGACCTTTGGTCCCCCTTTGCATCACTCGACCTTTTGACAACGTTCTTATAATTCGACCGTTTATCAATTCGACCTTTGGTAAGTTCGAACTTTTGTACATTCGATCATTAGTGACGCAATCTAAGTTGGTTCGGGACCGGTCTATTTTGGATATATTATTTTTATCGAGATAATAGAAGCGTAATTATAGAACTATTCCACAAATGGTTTGGATGATATCCACCGACCAATCGACATGAATGATCATACAAATTACAAATAAATTTCTGATCAAAGAACAAAACTGACATCTGCCGCCGTGTTCGCGGAAAATCTTTATCCTAGTCACGAACACGCGTACAAAATGTATGAGTTGGTTCGTGTCTAATCTATTTCGGACAAATTATTTTTATCTAGATAAAACATTTCTATGGTTTTGACAGATGGGATCGCTGCACATTTGAATTGGCCGTTATGGATTCTCGATCAAGAGTTAAGTTTAAGTTTCATGTCGGTTTGTCGGTGATAAAACCATAAATTCAAGTCTGAAACATTGTTGGAGTCCGATTAAGAAAGTTTACACAGTACGACATACCTTTTTAGCAAATTGGATATATTATTTAGTTGCATTGAGATATTTGTGCATCAAGCTTTTAATAAATTTTTATTCTGTTCAATATGGCAGTATTTAAATAATCATAAACAAATATATTCGATAATATCTGTTTTCGTAACTTTTTTGTTCAATTCTTCTTATTTCTCCCATTGCAGACGAGGAGGACTTGTTTATGGTTTGTGACCTGCTGGCCGGAGGCGATTTGCGGTATCACCTAAACCATCAGGTAAGTTCAAATGCATCCAAACATAACAGAAGCTAGTGAAGTTTCAGCATATGAACGCTACAGGAGTTGATTGGATTCCATCTCTCTTGTTCTCTTTAATTTGTGCACCCTGACCATATGAATACTGGATGGTGCTGTGATCACACAGGTGGAATTTTCGGAAGCCAGCGTTGCCTTACTGGTGTGTGAAATCGGCTCCGCACTGGACTACTTGCAGAAGCACCGAGTAGTGCATAGGTGAGTAGGCATTTAAGCACAAACATTTCAAAATGGGCAGAACTGCTTTTGGAAAATAATTGTCTTGAGTTGTCGATCTTATTCTATATTATATGCAGCCTATTGACTTCTTGCCGGAAGATATCACGAATCAGCCATGCTAGTGTAGCCGTGCAAAATCTATTTGTTTATTATTTTCAACCATGCAATCAAAGTGTTCGACTTTATTTTCAATCAGTAAAACGCATGTATTAGTGAAATTGAACACTAATACTAACGGTGGTGGAGAAGTCTATGAACTGATTGCACCGAGTATGTCAGTTAAGGCTGGCGCACAATGCATAAGTTTCCGGAGTTTTTGACAGATAATGTATGGGCTAACTGTCAAAAAACCAAAAAACTTATCCATTGTGGGCCGGCCTTTAGGAATGACACTTTATCAATACCGTGGACCCCCGTTAATCTGAACGCTTCTTTATGTATATTAACAGGGTTCATTTTTAATTGGAGCTTCTAGTAACCCTCCTATGACTAGGGTTAACATATCAAAAACTTGAAAAGGAGGACATTTCATTTAAGGTTTGGAGATAGAGAAGGACAAAGTTTCCTTTTCTAAACATTAAAGGAGGACAATGAGTTTTTATCAAACGTTTTAATAATATGTGCGCTATCACTAAATTAATGAGTTTCAAAAGTTCAATTTAGATAGTTCATAACTTGTAGTCGTTATCAATTCAATTCATCTTCTCGTTATACTTCTGAAAAATGCATCAAACTAGCCTTCGTAATTTAATTTTAATGCTAGAAAATGATGTAGTCTAGCTGTTTTGCATGAAAACTACAGCTTTACAGCCTTAAAATCATCCCAACTTTTATCATGTACTAAAATAAGGATACATGTCATCGCTGATTGAAAGCAACATGAAAAAGGAACATCTAAGCAACCTGTTAGTTTCACCATTGATTCAGCATAGGACTCTAAACCTATACCTAAAATCCCATAGAACCAGAACGTCAAAATCGAACACATGTTGGATTCAATCTAAGGCTGTGTTCCATTTGGTGAATTTTCACTTACATTTTAAAGATGGGAAATTTTCAAATAGCCCTGGTATTGCATCAGACTTCTTTCTGACAGACAAGCAAACCATTTTGACAAACTCATTCTCGAAAATCGGCCAATCAACATTTTAATATATCTTAGAGATTTCAACATTAGATGAAAATTCCTCAATTGGAACACAGTCTAAGGCTCTAATACCAACAATCATTACGAAACTAAAGATTTTAAATTGGCTCACTACTTGACTAGCCTATTGGTTCCAAACAAATCGACTAACGTACCCCATTTTAGTATTAATTCCAGTACTACACTATGTTTGTTTTGATTCGCTATGAAAGTTTGACAGATAAAATGAGGGGTGCGTGGATTTTTCTTTGTTTCGAGGGGTGAATCGATTAGCTTGGGACCGAAGATAGTACCAGAGCTGAGCCAAAAAGATGAGCTCGTTTCTTCGGGACCTTCTGGTCTTAGAGTTACCTCTATGCTAATACCATAGAGGTAACTCTAAGACCAGAAGGTCCCGAAATAACGTGCTCAACTTTTTGGCTCAGTTCTGGTACTCTCTTCGGTCCCAAGCTAATCGGTTCACCCCTCGAAACATAGAAAAAACCAATAACCCCTCATTTTATCTGTCAAACTTTCATAGCGAATCAAAACAAACATTGCGTAGTACTAGAATTTCGACTAGAATAGGGTACGTTAATTGTTTGCTTGGGACCAATAGGCTACTAAAGTGGTGAGCCAATTTAAAATCGTTAGTTTCGTATTGATTGTTGCTAATACCCCTATCAGGTAGAGGAGATTTTCCCATATTTGATGGCAGTGTTAGCATGCGTGGGCGAGCTACCAACAATCAATACGAAACTAACGATTTTAAATTGGCTCACCACTTTAGTAGCCTATTGGTCCCAAGCAAACGATTAACGTACCCTATTCTAGTTGAAATTCTAGTACTACACAATGTTTGTTTTGATTCGCTATGAAAGTTTGACAGATAAAATGAGGGGTTAGTGGTTTTTCCTATGTTTCGAGGGGTGAATCGATTAGCTTGGGACCGAAGAGAGTACCAGAGCTGAGCCAAAAAGTTGAGCACGTTATTTCGGGACCTTCTAGTCTTAGAGTTACCTCTATGCTTTCATTGGCACCCATGGTTGGACATTTTCATGATATTTAAAGTTACTGGCAACACTGTACTATACCTGCGCCTGCTCTGTGCATGTGTCAAAATGATAATCATTGTTGTTGACACAATCCAATATTTCCTCACAGCGGACATATTGTCAAAACATTAGGATGACAGAGGTCATCAAGGCGATGACCTTTGCCAAGCACAACAGTAATCTGGGAGCCTTACTGGAATTCTTCTGGATGGTGCTGGGGTCGCTACCGGAAGGCTTCGAGATCGGAGAACCTCCACTCAAGACGATCGAACTGTTCGAGGATCTGGTGCGGAAGGCTGTGGTGTTTCAGAACAGTTTGATCGACGTTGGGAAGGGGGTGACATCGTTCCGGAAGCTGATTGAAAAGATGTCCATGAAGGGACTGCTACTGGCCATAATGCAGATTCTAAAGGAGGAAGTGAAAGGAACGTTGAAGATGTTGGTAGATCGATTTGTGGCGGGGAGATTTGTGACGGAGCTGAATCACAGCCGAAGAAGGTTAAGTGGAATCGTAAAATGTTGATTGGTCAGTTGTTGGGCTTGAAGGTGAGCTTCCGAAAGTTGACATCGGTGAGTTGGTTGAAGGATAGGTTTAGCTCTTAGACACGACCCTGGTGGCTTGAAATAGAATATTATGGCTTGGCGGAAAAGAAGTCCCGGCGAAGTGTAAAGAGACCGGTGTTTTTCATGGTGCCAGCGATTGGAGCAGTTCGGTAAGCATTTCAACATCGCGATGTTTGCAATCATCCTCATGGAACTGATCCGAACGCAGCTTTTCGAACTCTATGAGGTACGAATTGATTATGGAATCCGAGCCGCACAGAAGGTCGTAAGGACAACAAAGATCACCATCTGGTTGTAGTAGTTTTATCAGTGGTTGTTCAGCATGTTTGATTCTGTAAGGCTTCACCACTTCGTTGAGTAGCCCGAGGATCAGCCAACCAACATTCAGTTCCATGAGTCGTTACTCATCGTAACTGACATATGTAGATGTATTCGCCTTCGATGATCACCGGTGTTTGCTTTTCTACCATCGACAGCATCCCAGCTTTTACAGGTGTTCTCTGGCCGGCACTGTTTTTCGCCAGAGACATCATACTTTCCTCCATTTGATCGGACAAATGGAGGAAAGTATGATGTCTCTGGCGAAAAACAGTGCCGGCCAGAGAACACCTGTAAAAGCTGGGATGCTGTCGATGGTAGAAAAGCAAACACCGGTGATCATCGAAGGCGAATACATCTACATATGTCAGTTACGATGAGTAACGACTCATGGAACTGAATGTTGGTTGGCTGATCCTCGGGCTACTCAACGAAGTGGTGAAGCCTTACAGAATCAAACATGCTGAACAACCACTGATAAAACTACTACAACCAGATGGTGATCTTTGTTGTCCTTACGACCTTCTGTGCGGCTCGGATTCCATAATCAATTCGTACCTCATAGAGTTCGAAAAGCTGCGTTCGGATCAGTTCCATGAGGATGATTGGACTATCTAACCGTGTGGAAATATTAAACCCCACCTCCACCAGGGAAGTCTGATTTCGGTTGAAACTCCCACTAGATTGATTGAGTCGATGGCTTTCGGGAGAAACTCCTCCCGGAAGCGTTCATCAGAATCTGAAGAGCATCTGGGCCAGTTTCCTCTGATGGTGCACGCTCGCTACGTCTACTTACCAGCGTCACCTGTGGTTCATCCGAGTCCTCATCATACTCTAGTCCAGTAGAAGTTATTGTCCTGTCGGAAATTGGAAGTGCCTCCCCCGGAGAACATTATCGCTCCAAGCTTGGATTCGGTGGCTGAGACCGTTGGTTATTAGGTTCAGTGTAGTCCTTTTACGATAGAATTTGGGAGCAACGAATCGAGAGTGACTCGACGACAGTTAGAATTAACCGGGTTGCCAAACATACCATTATACAAACAAAACAAAAAATAGTCTAATGACACTCTCGGCACTGCCGGCACAGCTGCGGCAGTCGTGAGGCACACTGAGAAAAAAGCTGGTGCAAAATGCGTGTGTAGAGTGACCACCCCTTGTCCTGATCCCACTATCGAATGGCATTTGCTATATAAGATGAGGTTACGACATAATTAAAGAAATATGCTCTGCAAACAACGCTCTTTGAAAACAATTTTATGAATATGTCACTGGAAAAAATGCAATAGGAGGACATTTTCGAGCAAAAGGCGGATGTAGAAAAATTGTTGAAAAAGGAGAACATGCCCTCCTTTAGGATACCATATGGTAACCCTACTGTAAGATACGCGAGAATAATGACGTTTATTCATCAAAGTATATCATATAGCAGGTATGCTCACGTAAGGTGTGCATAGGTAGTAGTGTTTACAGAATAATCATATGTCACATCTTCCCTCTTTTAGCAATTAATAATATGCAAAATCGATTTTCTTGTTGTTCTTTCCCAGACAACCAGAATGCACGTATATTCAAAGTTGTTTTCGTGATATACAAACATATATACAAACAAACAAGTCGTATAGAATGCAAAGAAATGGCTTATACGTACAAAAGTGGAGGCCATATACGTGCATATTTTCGTTTAATTTTAAACGAGTTGATTTAACATCATATGCAATTTGATCTGTAATAACAAATCCATTTTGAAAAGTTTTACGATGTAATCCGATTAAATTTGTGATACAGTACGACGGAAAAATGAGTCATCGCATATAAGTCGGAAATTTGCATTCTATACGATTTAACTTAAACATAATGCGAGGTATGCCATTCTAATATGCGATTTTGACTTAAACTGTAGCAATTTACGATACTGT